GGGGAGCAGAAGGGAGAGGGAGAAGCAGGCTCCCTGCTGAGCAAGGAGCCCGATGTGGGACTCGATCCAAAGACCCTGGGATCATGACCTGAGCCAAAGGCAGATGCTTAACCGACTGAGCCACCCAGGCATCCCAACATGTATTACTGTTCTGCAAACAAAAGTCACACATCCACCCTCCAACAACGATATCATTTCACTATGTGAACTCATCAAATTATGAACAGAGTCCAAGTGTCAGCACTATATACTAAGAGCACCTCTTCTCTTGGGCTAGATTTGAACCTGTTGATTCAAAAGGTTGTGCTTCTCCATCTCACTAATACCAACATGTTAATAAGTCTGACTTAAATGCAATACATTTTAAGATTTGCAATTTCAAGGTGGGGAGAACACATACCAGAGAACGAAATCGTACAGATTCTATTTGTCCATACTCTCTGAAAAATGACTTCAGCTTCTAAAACAAAAAAGTATATATACACTTTAGTTTACTTTCAGAACATCAAATAAGTGTTATAAAAAGGAATTAAGTACAACTGTCTGATAATCTTTTACTGCCAGGTTTTAAGAATATTTCAGGAATAGTTGACTATTCAGTTGGAAGACAAAAAAAAATTCTACTGAAATTTATACATATTTATGTTCATATAAACACAACTCAAGTTCTTGTTACTACCCATAAGGTACACAACATTTTTGTCTTTCAATCTTTTATAATTTTTACTACACATAAATTATAAAAGTAAAGGGCAGATTTCGGGTTTAGTGAACCCCACACAATGGAAGAAAGTTAGGATGTATTCTTTCATTTATACAACATTCACTGAACGTCTTACACACTTACCTTCTTGTTACAGGTGACAGGCAAATTCCCAACAAACACAGTTCTCTCGTTCTTTAATCTCTCCTCTTCTTGGTTGATTTCAATTTTCTTTCTTTGATTTACAACTGTGTGATCTACATCATCAGGTGCTTTTTTATCTGCTACTTTAATACCAGATTGAGAATTACTCCTTTTTTGTCCCTGTTTTTGATGAATTTCTTCTTCTAAATCAGCACTTGCTAGAGCGTTTTCCCTTTACAAGGCCAAAAAAAAAAAAAAAAAGAGCAAGAAGAATTGTAAGAGTCATGGAAGTCAGGTGTAGTATTTGGCAAAGCACAAGGATCAAAAATATTTCCCACCTAGGGCGCCTGGGTGGCTCAGTCAGTTAAGCATCGGACCCTTGATTTCTACTCAAGTCATGATCTCAGGGTCTTAAGAGTTGTGAGACTCTGTGCTGAGCATGGAGCCTGCCTAAGATTCTCCCTCTCCCTCTGCGCACACCCCCTCCCCAAGCACACATGATCTCTTAAAAAAAAAAATTCCCACCTACTTCTGACTTTCCCAAATATAAATTTATGAGTCACAAATATATCTAAATTTATAAAGCAGTATTATCAAAAAGTGACTGGTATCTTTAGAAAACCCAAGATTAGAAAAAATCAAGCTCAATTTTTTGAAAATATGTTAAAACTGCCAAGTAACAGCAGAGCAACCAAATGCTCTTGGGGTTTAGTTTACACTCTATGAATGCCTAGTTTCATTCTCGGCTCTAGAACTCTAGGGGAACTGCAGCACTCCGAGGGGTTCTATAAAGGTTAATATGGGCTGCAAAATACTTCATAAAAGTAATCTGGCCAATAGGGAAAACCAGATTTCCTATTTATAATAGTTCTATAATAGCTAAAGGACTGCTTGTCAAAAGTACATTCTGAAATGGTGCACATGGATAAGCGAGATCTGAGCATCGTTCCTAACAGAGAACTGGACCAGGATCTTTTTTTTAATTTATTTGTTTTTAGTAATCTCTACACCCAGCATGGGGCTCAAAATCACGACCCCAAGATCAAGAGTCACATGCACTTCCAAACAAGCCAGCCAGGTGCCCCTGGACCGGGTTGTTAAGGAGGGGAGAGAATGGATAGTACCAGTCATGGGTAGTAAATGATACATTCACTCAGTAAATATTTACTGGGTTTCTACTCAGTTCCAGCCTCTGGGGATAGAAAGATGAAGAGACTATTAAAGGCCTTTCAATAGTCTAGCCTCTGAAGAGATAGGCAAAGTTCACAATAAAATGGGAACATGGTGTAGAAAAATAATAAGAAACACGAAAGGCTTCTCAGAGGAGGAAAGGCAGTGTCTGGCACATAGTGCTCAGTAAATTTTACCATTATTACTCTTCCACTAGACCCTAAGTTCCACTAAGGAGAAGGTTCGTGTCAAGTTTTTTGTCCACTATGGCATATAAAGTGCTGAGCAGGAGGAGTGAAGGGAACCAAGACAGTATGGTGAGGAAGGAACCAGGTCAAGGACCGTGGCTGTTAATGCAAACGAGCTTACATTGGCACCCACGGAGAATAACGAGCCACTGAAGACTTTAGAGACTGACTAAAACAGATCATTTGGGCAGCAGAGCAGAAGATAATTAGGAAGGGGGCAAAGCTGGATAAGGGAGATCAATAAGGAGAGAGTTATAACTGCATGTATGTGAGAGGACAACAGACCAACTAGAGAAAGGGAGGTGTGGAAAGGGAGAGAAAGATTAGAGAGATAATTAAAAGACAGCATCATCAGGACTTGGCAGCTAATTAGATGTGCAGGGAAGAGAGAGTGTAAGATGACTCCCAAGTCACTGGCTTAGGCAACTGGAAAGCTCGTGGTACCACTCGTGCAGAGGAACAGGTTTGATGAAGATACACAGCTCAGTCTGAGGCATTCTGAACTTGAGGTGCAGCTGACTCTTGAACATGGGTTTGAACTCCACTTACAAGTGCATTTTTTTTTCCGATAAATACGGTACAGTACTATAAATGTATTTTCTCCTCCTTATAATTTTCTCAATAACATTTTTTCTCTAGTTTACTTTATTGTAAGAATATATACTATATATAACATATAAAATATGTGTTTATCGACTGTTCATGGTACTGGTAAGGCTTCCGGTCAACAATAGAATATCAGTAGTTAAGTTTTGGGGAAGTCAAAGTTATATGTGGATTTTTGACTGTGTGGAGGTCGCTGCCCCTAACCATTCCATTGTTCAAAGGTCAACTGTATATAGAAGATACAGGTGCAAATGCCAGCAGGCAAACAGACTCACAGGTCAGGAGATCAGGAGAGAAATTGGAATGATGCAGCCATGGGAATAAATGTGACTGCTCAGAATGAATGGTAGAAAAAAGGCCAGAGAAGGTGACCAAACAGAATCCTGAGGAAAATCAACATTTACAGAGCAGTCAGAAGAAAAGGTACCCACAATAACAGAGAAGGAACAAAGAGACAGAAGAGACTGCTATAAAAAAATCTAACAGCTGCAGAAAGAAAAGCAGCCATGTGAAATGCAAGAGAGGACTCACTAGACAAAGGCTTACTGTCTACTAAATATGGCAACTAGGTCAGGATGGCTACACTGAGCACTGTTTCAGAAGTTTGATCAGATCATAGAAAAACAAACACAACAAGCAAACAGTCAGACTACAAGTTCATGGAAGATAAAGCAGATTCAGAAAAGGAAGAGAACATAAGTATCACATTTTTCTGAAAGCTTGACTATGAAGGGAAGGACCAAGGGAATGGTAGATAGCAAACAGGGAAGCATGACTATAGACAGGGTTTGGTTTTGTTGGATTTCTCTTTTTAGGATGAGAATCTTGAGCATATTTGTACGGTAGACACAGAAAAGACACAGGAAAGAGAAGAAAATGCATATACCTGATGGCACAATCCCGAAGGAGGCAGAAGAGGTCTGCGGTATACACAGAACAGGTGACTGAATTAATCTTGGACAAAGAGGAAGACATCTTTCTCTAAGAGAAAGGTAAAGAAATTAAGGATGTGCATTAAATACACTAAGTAGGAGGTTGGAAAAGTGGTGGTTAGTAACTGTTAGCAATTAATAGCTCTCTGACTAAGTAATATCACCTGGGGAGAGAGAAACGAGAAATAAAGGGCTTGAAGAGAGTGGCTTCGCGAACTGAGGAAAGTTACCTGGGAACCTATGATGTTACTTCTATTTGGATCTTGATGAGATAAACTATAAAGAAAACTTTTTTTTATAAGCTAACGGCAGAAATCTGATCTCTGACTTAGGAAGTTTAAGAAAACAAAATTCTTCAGGTGCCTCAGCCGTTAAGC